CTCAACGCGAACAGGGCGTCCGTCAATCTTGACACCGTCCAGAGCAGCAGTAGCCTTGGCAGCTTGCTCGTGCTTGTTGAAAATGATGGTTGCGCTGCCAACACTACGGCCAGCAGCATCATACTGGAGGAGAACCTTCTTTGGTCTACCTACGTTGATTGCCGAAGCAAAGTAATCCTACAAGGCGTATTAGTGGTCGTGCTAGGGTTTGAGTTCGCGAAAAGTGAAGCATCATCAGCTGCGAGTGCGGCGTCGGCGGTGGGTAGTCGTCGATCTCATATAACGCGGTTGGGAGCGCCACTCAGAAAGTAGGTTTCGTGATCCTGTGCCTGAACGCAAGGTTCGGCAAGACAAAGCCAACTCAGCGCGAGAGCATTCATTGCGAGTAACGTGTTACAACGTTGCGAGATAGTCTGCTGATGCCTGCCCGCGCCCCTCTGGTAATTTCTAGGCCATCTGTGACTGTACTCGATGATCTCATCTCGCTGCTCTGACGGCCTGCTAGAGTTTGCTGCATAGCGCCCAGGAAAATGTCACTGGGGCATAGCTGTCTGTGCTGCCACTCAAAAAAAGTGTAGCTTCGGAAAACGGATCACCCACTTCCGTCGTCGCGGTAGCTCAAAATGTTCGCATGCTGCTAATCGCATCCCAGTCTTGTGTGCCCAACACAGATCATGGTTTGATTTTTTGCAAGTCATGGCTCAACATCCATACCGGAAGGCGGAGGAAACGTGCTCGATTCGTCGTATCGCACTCGGTGGTGTTCGCTAAAGCGAGAAGAGTAGGCTCAAAGACCTGCATCGGTCTTACATACCTGAAGTTGGGCTTGGTCAATGTCCCTTGGCTGTTGCGAGTTAGCAAAGTTCAAGTGCGGTGAAGAGGTCGGAAACATACCAAGTTGGATACCATGATCTTTGTCTCGCCGGCCAGGATGGCAGCGGGTGCGGCAGGCGCAGCCTTGGCGGGCTTGCCTTGCTTGGTGGACTTTGCAACACCGCCAACGGGAGCTGGGGCGGCTGCTGGACGTCCAGCGCCAGAGCGGCGACTGCTGCGGCCACGGCGAGAAGTCTTGGAAGCCTTGAGGATGTCGTCGAGGCTCTGCTCCATCTTGTTTGAAGACATGGTGATGAGTGGTTGAGGAGTGGTAATACTTGGGTTGAACGGGCGTTGGTGCAAAGGCGCGCTGATGTCGGGCAGACGATGTGAGGGCTAACAAGTAGCGAGGGCAGCGGTCTCTGTGATGGAGGCGCGACTGGAACAGTAACAAGACTGGGAGGACAAAGGAACGCGCTGTTTGGGGACAGGCGCGTCGTGGATGGTCAACTCGCGAGTCGAAGAATCAAAGCGGGCTTGCGCAAAAGGAGAGAGTGCGGCGCTGAAACCTGGGCTTGTAGGAGATGAAGCGCAGATGCTGTGGGTGTTTTGTAAGGTGGGGAGTGTGGTGGTGAGATGAGGAAAGGAGAGAGCGTGAGGCAGCAGGACAATCAAGAGGACAGGTGCCAAGAAAGGCTGAGCCATGCAAACCTGGGAAGGCCGTGATTGGCTGACACGCACGGTCGACGGGTGGGCCGCTCTTCCCCAGCTAGGGCCGTGAGTGACGATAGCTCTTGCTATTCAGGCTGCGGCGAGAATGGAGCGATAGCAGTATGGCAGTCACTCCGGTCAGTGTAGAACCATTCACTCTTCATGTCCCCTCATGTCAGTGCTAATGAGCGAGAAGTGGCAGTTCCGGTTCTTCGACGTCTCGCAAGTCAAGCTCCCCGATGACGAGGGCGCTTTCCTGTCCGAGGTACGATGCCAACCTCCTCCACGCGTACATGGTCTTATGAAAACTCGTAGATTGGAGACATTACATGCATAGTATCCGGATCCGAGAGCATCTTCTTCGGTGGTGCAGATGGCGTCGTTCGTATCGTGTCCGAGGCCTTCAAGGTCGTGCGCACCTTCAAGGCCCATGACACCGGCTCAATCACCCACATGAAACAGATCGAGGGCACCTCTCTCCTAGTAACCATAGCCGAAGACCTTTCTGATGAGCCAGTTCTGAAAGTCTGGGCCCTGGACAAGCTCGAGAAGAAGACGGGCATTCCACGATGCCAAAGTACCCTCACCATACACAATGGGCGCAAGCAGTTTCCCATATCCGCCTTTGCAGCGCTCGATGATCTGTCTCAATTGGCAGTTGGATTTGCAAATGGCGCTGTCACTGTCGTACGCGGCGACCTCATCCACGACCGCGGCGCGCGACAACGGACCGTGTTCGAATCCGAAGAGCCCATTACTGGTATAGAGTTTAGGGAAGGCAATATCACAACCTTGTACATTGCAACTACCGGTCGCATCATGACGCTCGTAATATCCGGAAGGGGTCAGGGACAGCCTGCGAAATCTCTTGACGAGTATGGCTGTGGTGTGGGTTGTATGGCCGTGGACAAATCGTCTCGAGATGTGGTAGTCGCACGGAATGATGCTATTTACTACTATGGCCAACACGGACGTGGGCCGCCGTACACATACGAAGGCGAGAAAAAGATGATTTCTGTGTTCAAGGATTATATCGTTATCATTGCGCCTCCAAAGACGAATGCGATGCCCCGGTCCAACCCTCTGCGAGCCTTTGGCGTTGGCGCCGCCGATGATGTCTTCAACACGTCGAGCTTCACGCTTCTCAATACAGAATTGAGATTCATCGCTCACCAGGAACAGCTGACCTCGCAAGTGAAGGCCGTTGTCGCAGAATGGGGAGACCTTTTTGTCTTCACAATCGATGGGAAGGTACGTTACTGAAGAGCACCGGTATTCAGAGCTAACAATATCCAGATCTTCAGATATCATGAGAAGCCTTTTGCTCAGAAACTTGACATACTCTACCAGCGCAACTTGTATGTTCTGGCCATCAACCTGGCTCAGAAAGCAGGATTGGACTCTTCCCAGCAGAACATCATCCTTCGCAAGTTCGGTGATTACTTGTACTCGAAGCAAGATTATGACACTGCTATGCAGCAGTACCTCAAGGCCATTGATAATACTGAGCCATCTCAGGTCATCCGAAAGGTACACACAAGCCAGTCGTCCAACTATTTCATAGCTAACAGTCAGATTAGTTTCTTGACACACAGAGAATACATAACTTGATAGAGTATCTAGAAGAGCTCCACGACCATCACAAGGCGACATCCGACCACACTACTTTACTCTTGAACTGCTATGCAAAGCTTAAGGATGTAGAGAAACTCGAAAACTTCATCAAGTCACCCGACGATCTCAAGTTTGATCTCGATACGGCCATCTCGATGTGTCGACAGGGAGGTTATTACGATCAAGCAGCTTTCCTTGCCCGAAAGCATGGGGAGCACGAACTCGTTGTCGATGTTCTGATCGAGGACTCGAAGCGGTATGCAGAAGCTCTAGCTTACATATGGCGGCTGGAACCCGAAGTGACGTACTTCAATCTCATGAAGTATGCTACAGTACTACTGCAGCACTTGCCCAAGGACACCACACAGCTATTCATTGATTACTATACTGGAAAATTCCGGCCTAAGCAGGATGCTATCGTCATACCTAATGCGCCTTCATCTGGCGGAGGCATGAGTATGGGTCTCGGTGTTGCATCCAGTGCTGTGCAGAACCTTGCTGCATTACTCCCACTGCCTTATATGAACACCAATGCGCTGGCATCACCGCCTAACGGCGAACAAAAAGGCACAATGAGCCAAGCTCAAATAGTTGAGACGACGACCGACGAGCCCGCGCCTGAGTACAAAGTCCCGAAACCACGGACTGCATTCTCAGCGTTTGTCGACCACCCCCAGGAGTTCATAGTGTTCCTAGAAGCATGCATTGCCTCGGAGGATCTCCGCGAAGACGACAAGGTCGATCTTTACACGACTTTGTTTGAGATGTATCTACATACTGCATCGTCGAAGAAAGACGGCGAGCGACAGGAGTGGGAGAACAAGGCCAAGAAGCTTGTCGAAGGCAAGAACATACCCATAGACACATCAAATGTGTTACTGCTTTCCCACCTCTCCAGCTTCCGCGACGGCGCGATCCTCGTTCGCGAGCAGCAAGGTCTCTACTTTGACATTTTCCGCTCCTACACCGCCGCCAACGACACCCAAGGCGCCATTCGCGCCCTACGAAAGTACGGCCCAGAAGAGCCCGCACTCTACCCAGCCGCACTGGCCTACTTCACCTCATCGCCCGCCATCCTCGCCGAAGCAGGCGACGAACTCGACTCGGTCCTCAAAAAGATCGACGAAGACGGCCTCATGGCGCCCCTCCAAGTCATCCAGACCCTTTCCACCAACGGCGTTGCAACAATGGGCATGATAAAAACATACCTCAGCACAACCATCGAACGCGAGCGCGCCGAAATCGCAGCTAACCGCCGCAACATCGAAACTTTCCGCTCCGACACATCCGCCAAGAAAGCAGAACTCGAGGCCCTCAACACCAAACCCGCTGTCTTCCAGAACTCGCGCTGCCAGGTCTGCATGAAGAGCTTGGAGTTACCCGTTGTCCACTTCTTGTGCAAACATAGCTACCACCAGAGTTGCCTGAGCACGGATGAGGATGTGCATGATGCAGAGGTCGAATGTCCGATCTGCAGCTCGAACAATGCGACCATCAAGGCGATTCGGCGTGCGCAGGTCGAGAGTGCGGAACGCCATGATTTGTTCCAGGATGCACTTAAGAGGGGTAGAGATGGGTTTGCGGTTATTAGTGAGTGGTTTGGTAGAGGTGTTATGGGGGTGGGAAGTTCAGAGTGAGAATGTTTCGGGGTATCTGTTGTGTATATGGTATAATGGACGAGCGAGGCTTGAGACACGCAGGCTTTTATACGAATGGAACACAGTCAATTGTCAATATGTCTATAACGCCCAAACGTTGTCATACGATGCTTGAATCCAAGTTCAAGCAAATTGAATCCACCCTTGCTTAAACGCCAGTGATGCAATACACCTTCATTCCCCTATCACACACATCTATATACATTACTTCGTATAAACATCCGGAAACAAGACATGTAGAATTTCGTCTAGTAGCGTGAAAACAAGATGGGTGCTACAAGCATCATTAGCATTTATCCAAACCATCTCACATCTTTAAAGAGAGAAAGGAGGAGAAAAAAACTTACTTCAACCGCCCATTATTAACCGTCCCCTCCAACTTCTTCGCCGCCAACTGCGCATTCTGTCTCCCAACGACACTACTCGCCAACTCGGGTATAAGCGTACTAAGCACATCACTCGCCGCCTTCCTACTCCGCTCCTTGTCCTGCGTCGTCCGCTCCACACCAGCCTTCATGCGGCCATCGGGCCACATGCTATCTTTGAGCGCATCAATGTACTGAGCTATGTTCATTTCGGAAACGAGGTTGCCAAAGGACTCGCGGACTTTGCGCTCGATGGTGCCGCCGAGGAGCTGGTGCAGGACGACGACTACAGCGCGGCCACGGAGCCAGTTATTTTCGCGGTTGAGCTCAAAGGTTTCGAGGAAGAGGTCGCAGATTGGTTTGACGAAGGGCTCGAGTTCTTTGTTTTCGAAGGCGAGGAGTTCGGCTTCCGCCTCAGCGTCAGGATTGGGCTCGCCGGCTACGAGGACGCCGGAGGAGGCGAGGCTTGTGGGTTGGGCGGTCGCGCCGTTGGTGTGGGCGAGCTGCGTGGTGGCTGCAGAGATGAGGTTTTGGCCTGCTACGGAGAGTTGGTCGAGGACGGGGATATTGCCGAGAAATTCTTCCATGCCGTCTGCGACGGAGTTGTAGATGCGGGTCACGAAATCATTCGAGTTTGGATCTTGATTCTTAAGCGCTTCGGCAGGACTAATCGCAGCTTGAGAGAGGAATGCTCGAAATTCACGGCTGCGGCACACTGCTGGGATAAGCAGGAGCTCTCGCAGGTACTTTTCCAGACCAACTCGTCGTTTGTGCAATGAGTCCTTTTGAAGCTTGAGTATCATCTGGCGGCGTGGAAACTCTAGATTCCGAACTTGGGGAAACTTTGCACGAAGCCTTTTGTTCAGTTCGTGGAACTCGCTGTACCGGCGCGAGACGACCCAAGTTGCTGCAGGCATTTGGTCGCCCGCGCGTCGTCGGACTTCAATAACGTACATGGCATAGTCCTTGCCGTCCTCTTCTGTGCCCACCATGATTGATTGTATGAACACATTTGCACGCCCGTACAAACTGTTGTCACTTTCCTGCACAATGTACTGCTGCCGTTGGAGTTCTTTTCGCTGAATCTCTCGCTGTAAGCTAGCTTTGGACTTGCGCAAGATTCTAAGCTCGGCGGCATTGTTGGTCAACTCGGCCTTTGATGTCAGCGAATCGACAATAGACTCTTGTGTCACCAAACGCTCGATATCGGCTGTAAGAGCATCAATCGCCTCCGCTAACCCCAGATCTCCCGGCGCAGCTTCGTGTATCTCTTCGTCATCCGCCTTTTCGCTCGATATTGGGTCATCGACTTCATCTTCTAAGAATTTCTGCTCGTCACCAAACAGATCGTCGTTGAATACGCCACGGGTCCTGGGTTCTCCAACTAGGCCGAGCGATGCTATGCTCGGCTTGAGACTCTCTTTTCCTTGCGGATTAGGTGACAACGCCCGAGGTAGATCAAGAGAGCCACGCATTGAGTCATTATCCACGGGTGATTTTAGACCCGGCTCATAGAAAATGGACCCCTCTGGCTCATCCATGATGTCAGTCAGAGCAGCCTGCATGGCATCCACAACCTTTGCATCATTTCCACCAGTTCGCTCATAGCCAAAGTCGGAATTCAAGCTTGCAGTGGAATGTGCAAGGGGATCAGAGTCATAGTCATCGCCAAACAGAGGTGCTCGCTTCGACGTAGATGGCGCTACGTCCAAGGAGCGTCGTGCAGGTGGCTCGATGATATTGGCTGATGCTTGACTTTTCAGATCTGAAGAGGATGCAACTGCCCGGCGCAGATCTCCTTGTGGTGCATACAACGAACTATTTTGTCTTGAATGCGTCCGAGACACTGAGGGTGTCACTGAAGATGAGGCCTCGATAGGTTGCGTCATGCTTCTCGCCTTTCCGGCACTGTTGTCGGTATTCGCTGCTTCGTCCATGGCCAGCCACTTGTAGTACAGGTTTGATTTCTTGAACCGTCGAAAATAAGGCTCTTGTAGCTGTTCGTATGCTGCCGTTTGCGCTTGCAATAAGGAACGCCGTGCATTGTGATATTGTTGGGGCGTCGCTTTCCGCCCAGCCTTGAGAAATTCTGCAACCGCTCGGCGGGCTTCCGGGAGAATCTTGAGTTCAGGCTTAGACAAGTATGCCTCGTGGATCTGCGCCAGATCTGCGCGATCCGACTCCGTCCACGTGGGAAGTGTACCAACATAGTCCTGGCTTTCCTCAGTCTCTACTTCCAACGGGTTACGAAATCCATCTACAACAAGCCAGAACTGCACTAGTCGCATGAGGTCCGTCTGATCCATGAATTCCATGAAGCATGAAAGACCTGACGCGTCATACAGCACTTCGCGCAAAGATGCATTGGCGAACTTAGAGGACGAACGCTTGTGCTTTGGGGCTTCCTGGGCTGTGACTTTTGCACGAACCGATCCACCAGCACTAAGCGTCGCGACCTTTGTATCGAGCACATGACGTGCCGACTCAAGACGACGCAAATAGACGGGGTCTTGACCTTCAATCATCGAATCTTTACGTAGCTGGCTTGCGATCTCACTACGAAAACGCCTAGCATCTGCAAGCGTGTTTGTTTGCTGTATTGCTCGCATGAACCTTTCGAATTTCCGTTCGTTATCGCTAGGCAAGAGTTTAGGGAACTGCGCGTTTTTGGTTGTCTTTTGTGCAGGCGGGGCGTGTTCGTCGAGGGCAGCTCGTACTTTGCGTACCGTCTTTCTTTCTTGCAGCAAAGTCCGGCCCTAGAGTTATTAGCATGTTTAATGCTAGATGAGAAGTAATCTTACATAGCCCTCCATGAGCTGATTCCATGTATCGGGGTCAGCAAGCATGTGCATCACGGGCGACAGGACTGCACAAGCCACAATCTCTTTGATGAGTACATTGACAGCCGGGCTTGTGGACATATTGGCAGGCATGATCTTTGGTAGGAGTCGCGTGACTATGCTCCTCAAGTGTTGCTGCTGTATTGGTTTGGTGTTTGAATATGCCAAAGACGCAGCAGGGTGCAACCGACCCTCTTTGTATTTGGCTGCGATGGCAAGATCAAGCTCCTCTGAATCTGTGATATTGCGCGACAGCTTGCGCCCTCGAACCACACGCTCGGCCTCGTACGACGCTTTCAGGTGGTCAGTGATGAGAGGAATCATGCGCGACACGACCATCTCGACCATATCTACTGCCAGTATGCGTTCCCGTATCTCGCCCATGGCTGCACGCACTGCCTTGTCGACCTCGTGTACGAATGTCGGGCTCTTGCTGATACTCCCATACCAGCTCTTTACGAAATCGCGCAGTATCAGGCCGATCAGGACATCGAGGCTGTCTGATATCACATAGGACGCGGGGTATAGCGGTTCCATCATGTACATGTTCCTCTTGTCCAGAGCCTCCCTCTCAGCCTTCCACTTGTCCGGCGCCACAAAGGCAACATGGCGCGGCCCATAGTCGACATTTCCGCCGCGTCGTAGGTCCCTGTCCCAGGCGGTGGTGAAGGTGAGCCATGCCAGCAGTGCGAGCGTCGCAAGTGCTCCGGTGACGAAGGCGTAGGGGAGGTAGTGCAGCTTGGGCTGCCAGTGAGTCAGATAACCCCAGGCGACGAATATTGCGACGGCAGCAAGAATAAAGTCTCTGCGCTTCACAGTGGCCATACTCGTGCTGGCGGCGCCCGGTTCGGCATCTTGGGTGCGGTGACCGAAGATGCGGGAGGCTTGGTGTTCTGGACAGCCCACTTCGGAGCTTAGGCCACTGACGTCGATCCGGCGTATACCGTATTCACCAGGGTCAGTCTTTATACCAGACTTGACACCATCTCAAGTTTTCTAGTGATTTTTTTGGTCAGTATGTCTCGCTGGAATATTGGTTGGTCACTGGAGGACAACTACTCTGTGCTCATCATCCTATCTTCTACTTCAGGACAAGGTGACTGTGTACGTTGTTTCGTTAAATCAATCATGAAATATACGGCTTTTGATGGAAAGAGTTTTCCATGATGAATTCATCGCATTCATGAATTGATTACTTTTTCTAGATACCTAACACATCCCTACGCTCTGTACGGTGAGATTTATCACATGCTCGAAACATTATGTCAGCGTCTGAAGCTAGCAGGACCTACAAAGTCGGTGCTATGTTATCTTGAACGAGAAAAAGAAAATAATGAACACTGTGCGTGTTTTTGAAAAGATTACATTAATTGCTGCCAATTAAAAAAAAGGGGGGGGGGAAGCAGGACAACGCATACGACCGAACAACCCAACTCACAGCAGTCATGGAAATACTTGGACGATACTATTCAAAAACAGAAAAAGGAATCACAACACGCGAAAGATAATCTGACAAGAAGTAGAAGGACAAGAAGATATGCGTAGACATTAAGTGGTATCTGAATTATTCACTTTTTCTGATTTGGTGATATACAAACAAAGCAAACCCAAACTACATCCCATCGTCGTACCATGACACCTTCATTACCATTTCCATCCGTATCCATAACAGCCCGGTTTCATATCAAAATGTCAACACAGAGAAGACATGGTAGTAATTTACAAAGCGAGCATGGCAAGGGCGGCGGCACCGATGATACCGACGGCCTGGGTGGCCTGGGCAGCAGCACCAGTGAACTGAGAGACGGAAGAAGTAGGAGCGCCAGAGGCAGAGGGAGAGCCGGAGGGTGTCATAGATGGAGTACCGGAGGGTGTCATAGAGGGAGTACCGGTAGAGATGGGGGTGGGCATGGGCACTGGAGTGCCGGATGCCACAATGGATGAGATGACTGAGGAGGCGGCTGAGGCAACTGAAGAAGCCGCGGACGCAGCAGACGATGGTGCTGGAGCAGCAGAGGGAGAGGCAGAGGCGGCAGGGGCGCTGCTCTGAGCAGGGGCGCCGGTGTCGGGGATGGTGATGGGAACACCAGCAGCCTGGCAGGTGGACTCGACGGCGGCAATAGCCTTTGCCTGGTCGGCAGCCTCGCAGCCCTTCTGCACGCAGGGCTGGACCTGGGCAAGGAGCGTGTCACCCTTCTTGCAGTGGCAGGCAAAGTCGGTCAGGTTCGCGCAGCCGTCACTGGTGAGAGGACCGATGAAGCAGGAAAGCTGAGTATTGTGAGTAAGCGTACGTTGAATGGGGCATTGCATAGTATGGACATACAGCGCACTGAGGGATGTTGTCGAGCTGAGCGCTGGCGACAGAGGCCAAGGCGACGATGGAGGCGATGGTGAAGGTCTTCATTTTGGCTGTTGTTTGAAGTTGAAGTAGCGACGGATTTGTTCAAGATTGACAGTGCGTTTATAAAGACAGTAGGATCACGATGAGCATTGGAGGAGGTTATCAAAGACTCTTTATATGGCAGTGGGTAGTGAGGCGCCCCATGTCCAAACAAGGGAACCTGTTGGCACATCAGTAGGCTCTAGCTCCACACATTACTCTTTGTCACATATGAAAAATTGCCTCCATCCAGATCATCGAAAGAATGCTGGAGATATGACTCGATCTGGCAACGCTAGCTGGCTATACCCCAGACTAGAGCATTAGTTGCGGCTGCATGCACGGGACTACAGACGGCGAAATCTAATGAGGGTAGGAAGAGGCGCCGGGTAGGATACGATCAGCAGCAGACCGAAATTCCAGACGACTGGAAGGGAACGCATTGCCGCGTCAGCCCCTAGACCTCGAGGCATGTGCTTGCTGGCGAGCACCCGAGCAAGGTGTGTAGTATTGTGTTGAGCCAAGCGACGATCCGAGGACGCGACGGGTGGACGTCATTGGGTAACCAAGGGGTTACAGCATTGTTGTTAGTGGCCTGGTCAGGGGCTAAAAGCATGTTGGAGCGGCTGGCTGGTCCTTTGGGGTGAAGACAACTACAGGCTGTTGGCCGGGGCTTGGAATTGGTGCGGCAGTGGCACGGACTAGCGCCAATAGAAATCCGGGGCAGCATTGGCATCTGCGCGTGTTTGTGCAAACGTCACATCAAACCATGCCTGGCTTGGGGCGACCTCTAATGCGCGAAATAAAGAACATTCGCGGACCAAGCCTTCGAAACCGACAAGATCATTGGTAGGGGGCCGGCAGATGCGACACACAATAACAGAATTCGCAGGCGCAGCCCCGCAAGTCCGAATACCCATTCTTGGTCAATCGTCCGGGACAGCCCATGTCCATCTTTTTCTGGCTAAAGCCGTTTGGAAATGGCTGAGAAACCTGGCCCACCACCTATCGGCATGCGCCATCCGAGCGTCCGATACTCTAGCCCGCATGTCGAAGAATTTCGGATGAGTTGGTTAAGTGGCGTGAGCCTAGCACCTCTGTTGCTGTCGTACCTGCGCCGGTTTGCCACATTGGTTTTTCCAAGTCTACAGTATATTCCTTCAGAAGCATCAATCGGCCGCTACTCGGTTTGCGGCGCCGTCCTCAACCACAAGGCCGGATGCAACGTGACCATTAAATAGCGAGCCTTGTAGTATGCTCCTGCGTCATTCTCATGCGGAGACAGCTTCCTTGTACGGAAAGATCTGACGGCTCGGTCGGCGCGAGGCTTCAAGTTCCTCGGCAGCATGTGCTTGTGCTGGCACTGTCCAGCTGCTTTCCAGCATGACACCTTGGAAAATGGAGCGGTAAAGCGGAGAACCTGGAAGATCTGGGGAAACAAGCCTTGTCCCTGAGGCTATGACAATGGAGAAGGCCCTTGCGACTCAGCTAAGAGCTACCGTAGCGTCTCTGAAAGCTAGTCCCGCGGCGACAACACACCGAATGGTCATTATACAGTGCGCATCGAGTTAATTAGCAGCATGTCAACAGGCGAGTTCACCGTTTACCCAATGTTTGCCGCAGGGTTGCAGGATTGGACGGCGGTAGGTGTGTGGCACTCTAAATCGCATCCCTGCGCGCTCTGGAAACATGTGCATATGCATACACATTCATGCGAGCTTTCGAAGCGCAGCGGTCTGCTGGACCACATGATGACGAGTCCCGTACCAAGTCCCAAGAGACCATGCCTGTGAAATGTAGCGATGATCTTTATCCAGCTTGCAATAACGTGAGGACTCAGCCTTCATCTTGTCCAATTTTGGCACCAAGCGACAAGTCTCGGCCATCACAAATGATTGAAGACACGCCAAGTTCTCATTTTCGGCCTAAATTTTCGAGGGTTTTATGTTTTGATTTTATAAAAAAGATTGTCGGAAGAGGGTTCTATCGTATGATATGAGCACAGTGTATGTACGCAATCGACTGATCCTAACAAGAGGGGCTGTTGATAGAACCCCAAGGTGGGGAGGACTTGACTCACTAGAAATCAGGTTTCAACAAAAAATATAGCACTACATGTAGTAATGTTTCATAATCTCCAACACATAAGTTGCTTGGCTGGCCAGAATTTGGATAGAGGTTCTCTAGTCTTCTTCAGTACTGCATGTCGTAGAGCAAGGAGAATATAGTCGAAGACGTGACATCAACGCATTGATCTTCGTTTTTTGCAAATTCATCTCATGATTTTTGAACAACCTAGGATAATAGAAAGGACAAATGTCATCAAGTGTTGGAACCGAAGTTGCGAGATCAAGCGTGAGCAACGCTGTCCAGGTTCGACAAAGATTAGATGAGATAAGATCTACTTCGGTCTTGGCTCGGTTCAGTCCAGCCAGGCGCGCTAGTGAAACTTCCGTCGGCGGTCGCGATTCCCAAGTTCATGACGAACTGTTGGCCTCGCATAACAGCCAAACGCCTCCACACGTGAGCTTTCTCTATTGATACTCGCTATCCCCATCGCCTAAGTCGCTGTATCTGTGGCTCTGCATTGTACCCATCAAATCCTCCAACAGACAAACGCAGTCATGGCCGACACGGCAGCTTCGCAACCTCCCAGCACGGCAGAGCAGCTCGTAAGAATGTCCTCGAAGCGGACGCGGGAGATATTCGCTGCCGACTTTGCTTCATCCGCCGCATTAGATCATGCATCCAACGGCAGCTTCTCCATACACCCCACATCGCCGGCCCCTTCGACCGCCGCCGACCAAGCAGGCGTCGCATCGCGCATTCGCAATGAATACGAACACGTCCGCGAACTTCCACCTGCTCTCGCGGCCAAGATGGCCAGCGCTGCATCCACAGCAGCAGAGCGCCGCAAGAAGATCAAGGCGCAGAACGCCGAGGAGAAGGCCTCTGATCCTAAGATGCAGAAGATGATTGAGGGAGTCTCAGAAAAGGCTGATAAGGCGCGGGATGCGCAATCAATGCAGCTGGCAGTACGAGCTGGAGGAAAGGGCGCTGCCCCCAACGCACAAGGGCCAACACCAAACAGAGATCAGACATCCAGTTCGCTGGTCAGGAAGGACGTGGTTAGGCAAGCGAAGCCTGAGTGGCATGCTCCTTGGAAAATCAAGACAGTCATTAGCGGACACATGGGATGGGTGAGTATATTTCAATTGCCTACAGGAATAACAAGGACTAACTTGGTATAGGTGCGATCGGTGGCCATGGAGCCTGGGAACGAGTGGTTTGCTACTGGCGCAGCAGACCGCACCATCAAGCTCTGGGACCTTGCGAGCGGCCGGTTGAAAATCACCCTAACGGGGCACATCTCGGCAGTCAGAGGCCTTGCAGTAAGCCCAAGACACCCCTATCTTTTCTCCTGCGGAGAAGATAAGATGGTCAAATGCTGGGACCTCGAAACCAACAAGGTAATTCGACATTACCACGGCCATCTGAGCGGAGTCTACTCGCTTTCGCTTCACCCGACAGTGGATGTGTTGTGCACAGGAGGACGAGATGGCGTAGTACGTGTATGGGACATGCGCTCACGCAGCAATATCCACGTCCTCGGTGGTCACAAAGGAACAATTTCGTCAATCCAGTGTCAAGAAGCTGAGCCACAAGTAATATCCGGAAGCATGGACAGCACAATCCGGCTGTGGGATCTTGTGGCAGGAAAGACCCGAACTGTATTGACTCACCACAAAAAGTCTGTCCGCGCTCTTGCCATACATCCCACAGAATTTACCTTCGCCTCTGGTTCTGCACAATCCGCGAAACAGTGGCTATGTCCCAACGGAGACTTCATGCAGAACTTCTCCCCCGTAAACAGCATCATCAATACGCTTTCGGTTAACGAAAACAACATGATGTTCGCCGGTAGCGACAACGGCGAAGTCTCCTTCTACGACTGGAAGACTGGTCATCGCTTCCAGCACACTGAGAGTATTGCCCAACCTGGTTCTCTTGAAGCAGAAGCCGGAGTCATGTGCTCTACATTCGATGCATCGGGTCTTCGTCTTATCACTGGCGAGTCAGACAAGTCGATCAAGATTTGGAAACAGGATGAGACTGCAACGGAAGAGACGCATCCTCTGGACTGGAAGCCAACACTTGGTCGACAAAAATACTAGTAACTTGGCGCCATTTGCCATCAAATTTGGGCAAACGCGATTATTGATGTTGCATGGTAATTAGGAGTTTGTGGCGAGCATATCGGCGTCGAAAATGTATGACTATGTAGATGTTCTTTTTTTTCCCTTTATTGTAATGCATCCACAAGTCTGAGAACGAACGAGAATATACCATACCAGCGACCAAAGTGCGGTCTTAGTCTTCCGAAATCTGATTCGAACAATATAGCTTCAAATACAAAAGCTATGGTTTCCAATGCACTTCTTCATTTGACAAACATTTGGAGCGTCATGATACATTTCTTGGCTTTGTTACATTTCGTATGTCCTATTCATCACAAAGGCATGACTTGACTTTTTTCTCGCTGTTTGCTATATAGCATATCAGGTTGATTGTCCAAGAAAAGAATGGCAGGCCACACCCCAACCTGCCGCAATCGGGTATCAAAATAACTGACTTTGCAGTTAAAGTAAAAGGGTTCGGATGAGCATTTACGTCAGCGAGACCTTCACTCGAACCCTGAAAAATCATTCCGTAATGATGTGTAAACCTCTCAATGGGTATATGGCCATTAGGCACAACTCCATTGGGTATGACAATACGAGATATCGCACACGTCGACGTTATCACAAAGGCATACGCGGGCACATGAGCGAGTTTGGAGTGTCGATTCACAGACTATATTTTCTCTCAATACATTAATAGACGCTCAGAACTGATTTGATGGAGTTCTTGTCTTATGAATGCAATCGAATCGTATCTCCTGCCTGGGTTGATGAGTGAAAGATGGTGTTTGTCCACCCGCTACCCTTTCCCTTTCACTTTTGCCCGATTTGGAAACTGCACTT